AACCAGTTTAGTATCCAATGATCAGATGACAAGCAAGGTACACTTGTGTGTGCTAATTGATGAGACAGTGAGGCCATGTGTATCAAGGAACCAGTACATGACTTGGCGATAGGAAACATAGCAGATAGTAGAAACTTTGAGGAACTAGACAGAAAGAAGATTGACGAAGTATCTGCTGTCACCACCAGAGCTCAAAAAAAGAAGAGCAAACAAGACTTCAAGCCCCTGCATGTGTCAAAAGGCGATATCCCAAATTTATTTAGGTTTGCAGGAACTGAAGGAACCACAAAAGAAAGACCCTTCACTGCCGAAACTTTGGGACAATGCCCAGAAGAAAGTTGAGCACAAAACAAAGGGGAAAGATACTTATAGAATAAATGATTAGAAGGGAGTTCTATACCGAATCTATCAAGGCAGTTATACTGGGGAAGTTAAACAGATCATAGTACCAATAAAATACCAGACTCAAGTGATGAAGTTGGCTCATGAATCAAATGTTGGAGGACACCTATGAACAAAGAAAACAAAAGACAGAATCACCAGTAATTTCCATTGGCTGGGAGTAATTGGAGATGTGAGTAAATTCTGCAGGTCATGTGATATCTGCCAAAGAACAATACCTAGAGGGAAGATAGCAAATTGCCATTAGGGGAGATGCCTCTCATAGATGAGCCATTCAGCAGAGTAGCTGTGGACTTGATCAGGCCACTAGCACCTATGTCTGACAAGGGCAACCGGTATGTGCTAACAGTAGTTGACTATGTGACACATTATCCAGAAGAAATGGCATTGCCAAAGATAGAGATAGAGAGAGTAGCAGAAGCCCTCCTGGAGATCTTTTGCAGAGTAGGCTTTCCGAGAGAAATCCTGAGTGATAGAGTGACCCAGTTTACTTCAGAACTGATGCAGGAAGTGTGCAGACTCATCAGCACTCGGCAACTCTTTACCACCCCGTACATTCCTAAATGTAATGGACTTTGAGAGAGATCAGTATCATTCGCTTATCGAGAAGTCCCACAAGCAAGTACAGGATTTCCACCCTTCAAGTTACTGTATGGAAGAACAGTATGAGGTCCAATGCAAATATTGAAAAAGCTATGGATGGGAGAAGAAGTGTCAGAAGTAAGGAACACATACCAGTACATGTTAGATCTCAGAAACCGACTGGAGGAAACCTGTCAACTCACTCGACAGAGTCTGTATGCAGCTCAAGGTAGTCAGAAGCATTTTTTAGACAAGAAGGCCAAGGATCGACATTTTAAAGTTGGACAAAAGGTCTTAGTTCTGCTGCCCACAGACCACAAGAAACTCACCCTACAATGGAAAGGACCTTTTGAAGCACAGGAAGTAGTCAACAGAATGGACTACAAGGTGAATGTGAACAGGAAGATCAAGATCTACCATGCCAATCTGTTGAAGAAGTATTTTGGAAGAGAAGAAGACCTGATGGGTGCAGCTATTGAAACAGAGATGGATGTTGCAGGTGTGACCATCATAGATGCAGAACCAGAAGACAGTGACTTTGTCTTAGAAGATGAGGATTTTCTAGACTCTAAGACCAATAGATGGAGATGAAACATACAAAGATGTCAACATCATCGAAGAACTGACTGGCAATGTAAATAGAGAGTTACAAGACCTACTGTACCAGTACGTATATATCTTCACAGATAAACCAGGAAAGACAGACATTGTGCAATACAAGATTGAGACCTCAACCAGGAATCCAGTCAAAGTGAAGCCCTATCAGATGCCTTATGCAATGAGAGATCTGATAAAGTAGGAAGTTGAAGCAATGTTGGAAGCTGGAATCATTGAGCCTTCAAATTCAGCCTACTGTTCACCAGTTGTAATCATGAAGAAGAGGGATGGATCAAACCATTTCTGCACTGACTTCCAGAAGTTGAACCTTGTGACAAAGTTTGACTTGAACTTATGGGCCAGATGGGGCCAGGTTTTTCAAAGATCGACCTCAGTAAAGGTTATTGGCAAATTCTGATGGAGATGGGATCTAAAGAGAAGACAGCATTTGTGACACCAGATGGATGTTACCAATTTAAGTGGATGCCATTTAGGTTAGTCAATTCAGTAGCAACATTTAACTGAATGATGAGGAAGATGCTGCACATCACCACCAACATCGAGCACTATGTGGATGACATTCTGACACACACTGCAAGATGGGAAGACCATCTGAAGAGAATTAGACAACTATTCCAGCGAGTGAGAGCAGCAGGTCTCACCATCAAGCCATCCAAGTGCTACATTGGATATTCTGTACTGGAGTTTATTGGACATAAAGTGGGGGACCAACAGATAGCCATGAAAAACGAAAAGGTAACCCACATACAAGATACACCTGCTCCAATGACCAAGCAGCAAGTAAGATCTTTCCTAGGGTTAGCGGGATACTATAGGAAATTCATCCCAAATAATGCTGAAATTATTGCACCATTGACTGACCTGACCAAGAAAGGCTTACCCAAAAAGGTGAAGCAGGAATAACCACACC